ATTGATTAACGTGTTCATGTTTTCTTTTAAGATTATTGTAGGGTTCAATGTACTTAGAACTTCCAGGCACACTAGTAAAAAATGTTATTATTTTATTTTTATTTTTTTATTTTTTGACTTTAAGCGTTTATCGAAAAAGAATAAATACTTAAATTTTAATACTATCATTAATATTTTTCAAAAGTATATTAAATTACTATACATTTTAATAATTAATCTGTGTGAAATAGTACAAGTAATTTTAGTATATACCTAATTTAGAAAAAACAATTAATAATTTTGATTAAGGGGGCCTTGACAGTTTTACATTAAATTTAGGGAGCCTCACGACAAAAAAATTGAGAAATACTGTACTAGATTATAGTGTAAAATATCTAAATATAATAAATATAACTAGCTGTCCCGGTAAAAGATCATGTTTTTAATGTTGCATTTCAATTTGAAAACTGCATATAAATTTTTCACTGTTTATTTTTCTAACATAATTTATATTTATTGAAGAAATATATAAACAAATTTTTTGACAAAGGTTGGTTGCTCAATACACAGTCAAATATTAACCAAATATATCATAACGCATTATGTCAAAACAAGAATGATATTCACTTACAAAAGAAAAAAATGAGCAAGGTGCTAAAAACAAGAAAACACCAAAAAAACTAAACAATTTTTCAAAATTAGTTTGAAGTTTATAAGATAACTATTATTGAATAATATTATAATATAAATAATATACCTAATCATAAAATAAAATATGCAAAATATTTTAAACATGTTTTTAGTTTTTTATGAGCACTAGAAAATAATACTCCACTCTACCAGACTACTATTAGAATTAGGAGTAGAATCATAATAGTTTTAATTTAATTTAAAGATTTTAAGAAGGATGCAAATATCCAAAGAAGTGACTAAATTATACATAATATTTTTTTCTAATTGATGTCTACTCGATAAAAATATTGCCAATGAATAAAATGCAAATGTAATGTATAATTACAGGCTCCAAATTTATTATACCAACTCAATTAAAAAAAAAAACTTTTTATGATTCAATGTTTTTGTAAATACTGACTTCAATTTTAAAAAATATTAGCATTTTAATTCTGAAGTTTTAAGACATTTTGCATTTAACAGAATGAATATACAGGCCTTCGTAGGACAGGAAGCGCGCTCTGGTGACTATAGAACTGTGGTAATATTTTCAATCAAGAGTGTATACGTATAGGGGTCCAGAGTGACGACAACTTATCAATACACCTTGTATGTTTGATTTAAATTTTATCTGGTTATCATAATACAGTTCTTAACAGAAATTGCTTGTAATCGTTGTATAATGCATGTTGATATAAAATTGAAAATAAATATATTTGTTTATTTTTTCCCTTCTTAAAAATTTTTTTTAGAAAATTGCTCCTGTGAATTATATTATGTATAAACAAGAACGCACAAAAGTGTATCGGTTAGTAAGGTTATGGGAGGGGTTCAAACCCCACGAACCCCCCCCCCCCCCCTTGAGTACGCCCCTGATACACATAATATTAACAATAGCTAGTTTCATTAATAAAGTCAAGTAGAGGTACTTAATATTCTTAACTAAACAGTAAACACAAGGACTTAGAAGAATTGCTTATGATTTATAATAATATTCGAACAAACATGCCCAGTTGCATTAAATAAAATGTACACCACTAGACTGCGTGTTAGACCTTGGCGATTCCCATCGCAATAAAATTTTAAAAATTATTTGACTTTTTTGAGCTTTTTACGGACATTGTCATTCAATTTTTTTAGCTTATTTTTTCTATAAATATTAATAATATTTTATTTGTTTTTTAAAAAAGCGTGAAAATTTAATGTAAGGCTTCTGATATATTGTTAGGTACGATAGCAGTTGAAAAATATTAAAAATCCTTTGTCACAATTTTTTTTTATAAGCATTTTAAGTTCAAAAATTGACAAAATATGGAAAAATCACGAAAATTAGCAAATTTTCTTGAGTTAAGAATTCGTAAAAATTTTTCTATTTAAATCTAAGATTTTAAAATGTAATACAAGATTCTTTATAAGATTATCTACCTTTATCAAAAAAAAATGTGTATAAGAAAGTCAAATTAAATTTTTATGAGCGTTAGAAATTCAAATTTTTACAACATTGGATATTCACTCGATTTCTCATGTATCGATTTCCTTATTTTGTTGTAATTCAAAAACGAATAACTGTAGATACATGAAAATTTCACTGAATGTTTATATTAGTATTTCCTATACACCATACAATTTTGAAAACATTTTGACTCTTTTTGAGCTGTTTATGGACATTTACAGCTTTCATTTTTTTAAGTTTTTTTTTTCTTTAAATATCAATTAAGTTTTATCTGTTGGGCCAAAAAGTGTAAAAATTTAATACAAGGCTCCTGATATATTGTTACAATATCAGTTGATAAATCGATGGTTGCACGACAAAATAGGATAAGCGACATTAGGGTCCAAGCGACATTTGTGCAGTGGTCGGGACGCTACTATTTTTTTGTAGCACGCTAACGCTACTGCTACTCCCCAAAAAAAGTAGCTCGCTATCGCTAAAGCTACTTTTTTTAAAATGTAGTGCGCTATTTCTAACGCTATTATTTAAATGTAGCGTGCTACTTTTTCGCTACATTTTTTTAAAAATTTTTTTTGTTTATTTAGATATTCATTTGAGTACTTGGTCATTATTTGTTAATGCCTACCACTATTTTCTTGTAATTTCGGAAGGCAGGTTTATTAAGTGTAACTCGTGTATTTTTGTAACAAAAATCAAAACAAATAAACGTTTTATTGAAAATTGCTAACTAGTTGAATATGACGTGGTGGCTTCAGGTTCTGTCATTTTTAATTCAACTATTCAAAATATTTAAAACTTAAAAGAAACACAGAAAAGTAGAAAACGCTGAATGCCGTAAACAAAAATTATGATAATAAAATACCTACTAATATATTAAATATTATTTATGGTTCTGTTTTCAATAATATAAAATATTACATTGTAATAATGCACTTTTGATTATAGTCTAATCTATCCGGTCTTATGTTAGTCCGGTCCGGGCTAAACCCGAAAAAATAAAAAATACACTCATCTTGTCATCTTATTAAATAAATAAATATACATCATGATATTTTAATTGTCATGAAATAGGTTAGAAGTAGCGATAAAATAATGAACATTTTCGCTACGCTAACCGTAAATTTCTAGCGCGCTATAGTATTTCTCTACATTGTATAAACTGTAGCGACGCTATGTTAATCGCTACAGCTAAAGTAGCGTGCTACTGTAGCGTCGCTACAATTAGCGCGCTACTCCCGACCACTGCATTTGTGTTATTATCGAATGGATTAGACTTAGATGTATCATAATGTATCACTGGTACATCAGTGTGACCATTTTATAATGAGTTATTGAATTTTTAAATTTAGGATACAAACGACCGTTATGATACGTGAATTCTAAAACACATTTTTGGGGTCCAAACGCCAATAGAAAATAATATATGGGGACCAAGTGACGTTATGAAATTAATATCATTATAATACTAATTATTATGACGCAAAAAACAAGTAACAATTGCTCCAAAATTGCTAATTACAATGTTTTATGATCAAAAAATCTCTTATCATTCTTCAAAATGAATTTGCTTTTTTTGTAATCACCTAAATTAATTAATATTTAATTATACAGTTTGTAGTTTGTACGATTATAATAATATTATAGAAGATTATAAGGTATGTACATCTACAATTCTCGAGTCTATTTAAAAAGTATAATGTTAACAATTACATTATAATATTTCTGGTTCACATAACTAAGTATACTAGTTCAACTAACGATGTTATCAGAACTTGCTATTATAATCATAATAATATTTTCTATTTTTACGTAAATGTAGATAAATACTATAATTATAATATTAAATATACTAAGATGATCTAAAACAATATAATAGTTAAGTTTATTCGAAATGATTCTATCTGATAAAATATTATTATGCCATTTTACATTTTATTTTCACATGGTAACTTGTATTCAATAATAACATGTTTTTAAATTAATAACATCGTATGACCTACTAATCTAATAAAAACTTTAACATAATTGTAGCATAATACTATTGTAACCACATGTACCTATGTATATTATTATGAGTAAATGACAAAGTACCTTCAATGGAAGGCTTATTTAATCAGTATTTCAAGCCAAAAGTTCACTCATATTTTTTACTAATTTTTCTAATTAGTAACTGATTGTACATTGTATTGTAAACATTTTAAAACTTTAAAATTTTCCTTAATAAATAATATAATAGTGACTACTTTATAGTTTATTTATTTTTTCTTATCCTATAAATTATAATATAATGATATAATATTTATTTCTATAATTATTTTATAATTAAAGTATTATCTATTTATAGTTCTAAAATTTGTTATTAGGATTTTGTTCCAAACTCCTTGTTAGAAGATTTCTTTTTTGCTGAAGTAGTCCTTTGTGACTACATTTATTTTAGGTATTATATTATTATTATTCTACAATTTGTTACAATAATATTGTTTGTATGATTATAGGTAAACACATTTTGATACAATTTTTTTTTTTGTTATTTGAAGAAAAAAAATGTAATTGTTTATAAATACCTATTTTCATTAATAATTTACCATAATATAATTTACGCTAACTTAACGAAATCATTTTTAAACTGGAGTTGTTTTTTAATTATTTGGTAATTAACAAATAACATTTTTTTCATTATTTAAACAGTTCTAAAAATGAATTCAAGAAGTAGGAAAATAGTGAAGGCCGCACTTCAACAACCAACGTTAACGTTAATAATGGAATAGTACAGTATCCTCTAAATAATAATAATGACGTATCTATACCTGATTTCGAGCCTGATTTCGAGTACACAACATTGACAACAGTTCCTTCAGTTGAAATTGGTTTAAACAATATAATTTTCAATGAAATCATGGAACAAAAATCCGGACCAATTTTATCAGATAACCTTTCCACTTTAATTGAAAGTCGAAGTACCACAGAATGGTTACCGCGAAATTTAAATTATGAATCAGATACGTCTAGTTCTTCAAAAACTCAAAATCCAGTAAATTTTGATTTCGATAACGTTGTTGCCGATCCGGTTTCAACTGAAAACTCGATGGATTTTATGCCATTGAGTATAGAGAAGCAAAATACACCGAATACTGTAGAAGTTCTTGAAGTGGGAATGGAGGGTGTTAGGCCCAAAAGAAAAATTAACATACGTGAAATAACTAAATTAGAGAAATCCAGAGGTGTTGGAAAAAAGCTCCAACCAAATCCGTGTGCTAACAAAAAATGTCAAAATAAGTGTAGTGAAAAATTTAGTGAAAATGATAGAAAAATTATTTTTTCAGCATGTTGGAAACTAGCCGACCCAATTAGACAAAAAGATTATATATTAAACTGTGTGAATGAAATGCCTATAAAAAGACAACGAGTCATTGTAAGCTCCAAAAGAAATGTTACTAAAGAATATTCATTGCCATTTGAAAACTATAGAAAAAAAGTATGTCTTCAGTATGTTTTAAGTACTTTAAATATTACAAAAAAATTCTTAAACTATACAATAAATAATGAACTGTCACCCACAACTTCAAAAATTGATCAGCGTGGCAGGCATTCACCGAAACATAAAAAATCATATGACATTATGAGAAGTATCGAAGATTTTACACAAAAACTTCCTGCGATCAAGTCACATTATTGCCGTGCATCGACCTTCAAAAAATACTTACCAGCTGAAATGGGAAATTTATCAAGACTGTATCAAGTTTACAAGTGTTACTGTGCTCAAAAAAAAATAGAAATCGTTAAAAATAGTTTATTTTGAAAAATCTTTAAAAAAAAATACAATATTGGTTTTCATTACCCAAAAAAAGATAAATGCCGAATTTGTTCAAAGTACGAGAATATTGAAAGTACACGAGAATTAACTGAAGACGAATATAAATTTAAAAAAAATCACGAAGAAGAAAAAAATGAAGTTAAAGATATGTTTCTATTTGAACAAGAAATATCAAGAGCTAATAGGAACTTCATTTGTGTAAGTTTTGACCTTCAAAAACTGTTGAATACTCCACAAGAGCAAAATATGAACTTATATTACAGCCGGAAGTATTCTATGTTTAATCTAACCATCTATGAATCGGGCTCACACAACGCATTAGCATATTTATGGGGTGAGACTACCGGAGCACGCAGTTGCAATAAAATTGTAACTTGTGTGTATAAATATCTATTGGACTTAGATGAAAAAGGTATTTATAAATCAGTTTATTTTTTTTGCGACTCGTTTAGTGGACAAAATAAAAACCGTGCTATGTTAGCCATGATACATTCTACACATTTTGAATTCATTGAAGAAATTAAAATTACTTTTCTCCTACCTGGTCATACCTATATGCCAGTGGACTCAATTCACGCTACCATTGAGCGTTTTGTAAAAAATAAAACCGTTTGGGCACTGAGTGAGTGGTCCACTTTAATTACAAATGCAAGAATTAAGCCATTGCCTATTGTTGTTAAAAATCTACAATATTCGGATTTTATTGATTGGAAAAAATTAGCAGCTCAATTTTTTACTCAGGTATTGAAAACCACAGATGAAGAAGTAGTCCACATTACTAAAGTCAAGTCTTTCCTTTTCACAAAGCCTTTAGATGGACTCCACGAAATTCATGTTTTTTTTACGTATAAATCCGAAGAAAATCCTAAAATTTTGAAGCTAAAGAAAAATAAAAAAAAATATTGCAGAATTATCACAGTGCTATGAGAAAAGTTTGAAAATATCAAATGAAAAGAGAGTGGACCTCGCAAGCTTTGTAATGATGGCATAATACCACAGAAGTATCATGATGAATATCTACAAATGCAATCAGATCTGACCATAATTGATGCCTTGCCATAGACTGATGATGAGGACGTCAGGTCATTAAAATCGGAATCAGGCTAAAATTCTTTTAATTTTATCATGTTTTATAATTGTACTTTATAGTGCATACCTACTCTAAAGTAAGCTAAAAGAGATAGCTTTTTTAATTTTTGTTATTTTTTTTTTATATTATGTTTTATATTAGATTGTTTTCATTATGTTTCATAAGTGACTTGACAAGTTCCTATAAATTAACAATTTACTTATCAGTAGAAATTCAATAATTTAACAAACTTTAAATATATTTTATTACTATCCATTGATTGTTATCAATATATTATTATGTATAAGTTTAAATTTTTAAAATACATCGTTTTTTTAACACAATACCTAATTGTACTTATTTTATATTTTACAAACCTATTTGTTTTATTACTTTTCTACCTAAAGGGAATGTACCTAATACAGTTGTATTTATTTTTTCAAATTATGTAATGAATACGAATAATATTAGAAGGGGCTAAGTGACAACAATATTTATCAACAATAAACAATTGCGGTACAAGCGACAAAAATTTAAATTATTTTATAAGAATTGTTCCTCATACTTAAATAATTAATATAACTAATTGAAAATTACACAACTGTATAAACAACAAAAATGTTATTAAAAATGTACTTATAAAAGAATCTGAAAACTCAATGAAAAAAAAATTATAAGAGCTTGAAATCAAAAACAACATAAAAATCGTTTTTTTGCTCTCCAGTAAACCTTGATATATGTCGCTTATCCCCTTTTGTCGTGCAACCATCGAAATATTAAAAATACATAGGCACAATTTTTTTTTATAAGCATTTAAAGATCGAATTTTGACAAAATTTATCAAATTTAAAATTGAATAATTATTTTGTAGTTAAAAATGTATAAAATGTTCAACTTTTATATCTAAGGATTGAAAATTTAAACAAGATTCCACGTAAGTAGTTAATTCTGTTACCAAAAAATCTAAAAAATGCATAAGCACAATTTATTTTTATAGCCATTTTAAGTTCAAATTTGGACGAAATAACATATTAAAAACCTAGAATAAATATTTTAGTTATTTTGTTGTGATTGTATAATATTATTCGTGGTTAATTGAAACTTCTAAAGTATACTATTATATATCTATTATAGTATCATGGTTTGTTGTTGATGTATAACAAGTTATAAGTACCTAATGGCTATTGTAATTTCTATGATTAATTTGGAATTTATTATAGGTCAATATTTTTTTTTAATACCATAGATAAGAATATAATATGTCTTATACTTAGATTGACATACCGTCTCCGGTCAGAATCGTTTTTTAAAATTTAATACTATCCATTATACAGTGACCCACTTGTAACCTACTGTACAGCAGAGCACCTTTTTAATTTTTTTTTTGTGTATTTGTCATCGCCTTTTGGGGTAGTAAAAGATTTACACCTAGATATGTTTAATGTATATACTTTGTACAGAGTGATTCTTTTTTAAATGTACATGTTGCAGTATACAATACATATACATATTATAATATTATATTCAGTGGCGGCTCGTGGGTAAAATAGTTGGTGGTGCACATTTATATAAAATATATTTAAAACTTTATGTATAGTAATAAATACCAATAATTAATTATAAATTAGGTACATTAGAAAATCTGAACTTTATTAATATATTTATAGGTATTCTTACATAACTATAATATATATTTTTTTTAAATATACATATTTCTTGTTTTTGACACATTTGAGTAAAATAAAAAACATTTAATACAAACAAAACTCATATTTATTATTGGTAGGTATCGTAGTCATATTATTATATAGTAGTTATCGAAAAAAAATAAAATACAAATTATATATAAGTAGTTATATTATTATAAAGGAGGTACCTATAGAAAAAATACAAATAAAAAAATAACAAAATACAAATTATATATAAGTAGTTACAATATTATAAATTTATAAGTAGGTACCTACAGAAAAAATCAAATACAAAAAAAAAACAAAATACAAATTTTATTATTTTATTATTGTTCAAAATTATTTTTAATTCAAAACTATTGATCTTCGGATAAATCTGCCAACAGTAATATTTTTTCTAAACGAGAACCTGTTAGACGGTTCCTTGTTTTGGCCATAATTCCTCCAGCTTTTGAAAACAGTCTTTCACTTGGAACCGATGTTGCAACCATAGTGAACGATATCCTTGATTATTTATATAACATGGGAAAGACTTTTTTCATATCTTCCCATAGTTCCAAATGATTTCAGCGGAGATGCAGGATTTGACACATATAAAGATAGATAATTCATTATTTGTAAATGAAGAATTTTTTTTCCGTTTTTGACCGTGAGCTAACATTTTATGGTGAGCCCAAAAATCATAACTTTCCACATTATCTCCAGATGTCACCTCTCCTTCCGATTCACTAGATGACATATCTGGCTTAGATAGTCTACGGAGTTCTGCCATAGCACTAGAACAAGCAACTGGATCGCTAAAATGAAGATTTTTGAATCTGGGATCCAAAATTGTGGCTACAGCGATTGGTTTAACTTGCTGAATCTGTCCAAATCTTTTAACTATTTCTGCATGCAACACATCTTTAATTTCTAACAACACCTCAAATCTTGGTTTGATTTGGGCCAGTTGCTTCAGTAGGCAGCTAATCATGGGGATCACTTTTGAGATGGTTATATAATTTTCCCCAGAGGATTCTTTAGTGACAAACTCCAATGGTTGTAATAATTCAATCAGTTGTCGAAGGATATCCATTTCTATGGCGGTTGGCATACTAGGTGCAGTTATATCATTTAATAGCATTGGACTAAGAAAAGACACCATTTCTATAAATCTTCTTATCATAAAATAAACTGAATTCCACCGTGTTGCGACATCTAAAATTAATTTTTTTAATTTTCTTTCAGGAACTCCAGCTTCAGCCTGTTTTTTTCTCAGTTGATCACTGTTTATAACACTGTTTTTCACCCATTTTACGATTTCTCTAACTTTAGTAGTAATAGGTTGTATATTCTTTTGACCAACTGTATGTGTTGCCACTAAATTAATGGTATGAGCAAAGCATGGTGTATGCTTGTTCTTACCAAATGTTTTATTAACGGCAGCAACTACATTTGCACCGTTGTCCGTTACAACAGTAACAATTTTACTGTTATAAATTTGCCAGTCTGAAAGGATTTTTTCAAGAATTTCACTTATATAATGTGCAGTATGTCTTTCTTTTAGTTCTTCAACCGCCAAACAATGTGACTTAAGAGATGTACCCTTGAGGTAGTGCACTGTTACGCCAAGGAAACTTTTTTCGTTCATTGTCTCAGTCCATGCATCAAATGTGATACTAACATGTGGTGCTGCCAACAAACAACTTTTTAATATTCCTTTTGTGACCTCATACTTATTATCAAGAGTATTTTTCAATGTTGTAACAGAAGGAATTTTATATGATGGTGCCAATTCTTTGATTAATTTCTTAAACCCTTCTCCTTCAAAAACCGCAAAAGGCCGATAATCTTTACAAATGAAGTATAGTAAATACATTGTGATTTTCCTATGGTTGAAACCACCCTCTGAAACACAAAAAAGAAAATGGTGTTATTACTTATTTACAACATATACTCAGTGGTGGATTTACGGGGGTCAGGGGGTCTGGACCACCCCCAAGATGCCAATATATATATTCATTACAAATTAATAAAATACATTATACACAGGGTTTGACCAAGTTGGAGTATTATAATTACACATTTCAAATATAAGTTGATTGGTTATCTATATTAAATATTATGATTGTTTAGCTTTAGGACACTTGACACTGGTTATAGTTAATTTCATTCAAATAAAAATAATATCTTTAAAATATATATTATATCTTAGGACCCCTCTCCCACCCAGAAAAATATTGATAATCCACTATTACATATAATAGTAAATTAGTAAATCTGAATATCAGTAAAAACGAATAATAAGTTATAATTAACATACCTGCATATGAGCTAATTTGGTTGAAAGCATCAATAATAGGTCGTTTTAGAGCCACTGATTTTTCAGAAAACAAATTTGGATCATCTACACATTCCTAAAATAAAATCATTTACTAATATTATAGCATTGTCATCATATAAACATGTATTATTATTAATTATTACCTCTGTCTCTGATTCGGTATCTTGTACAAAGGTTTTGGAAAGGACAACATGACTACTAGTTTCTGAAGATTGTATGCTGACATAATAAATTATATGAATTTATTACAATAATGCCTAAAAGTAATACTATTATATTTATATATAATATATATATTTATAAAATATAATACATAATAATACATTACATTTATATATTTTGTGCCGTATTCATAGTCGATGCTTAAGAATAAGTATAATACATAATAATATATAAACTGAACTCTACGCTTACGCCTTACAGGGAGTGTTGCATACTGTTTATAGTAGGTACTATAATTTTTAAAAAACTTTGAAATAGGTATAAATTTATAAAATAACTTACCTATGAGTTGCCGCAGGATTAGTTGTAGTTGTTGTAGCTAATTTCAACTGTTTAGCAGTAGTTTTTGTCGTTGAACCACTTGTTCCGGGTTCCAATACATTAGGGTGTTTTTTAAATGTTTGGCCAAATTGGATGTGTTGCCACAACATTTTATACTTTGAGAACAAATTTTGCATTGTGCGTTTAATTTGTCTCCTTTTTTAAAATACATCCAGCATTTGCTCTTTGGAGGCGGCATTGTAAATATGAAATTGTTATAAGAGTAAGAAATAGTAGATCGAGTGGTCGGCGTTGTCGCACTAGTTGATCGAATGTCGTCAATTGAGACAGTGGAATGCCGAAT